CCCCCATTTCTGAAGAAGGGTCCAGACCCGAAACGTCAGCTTTCCTGCTACTCTGATGCTGCTTGGCCTGCTGTGTTCATCCAGCTCTACACTTTGTTATCAACAGTCAGTTGTATTTACATTTTGGTTATACAATACTAATAATTATACTTTCAATGGAGAAAAGACAACAGTAGAAAATTCTTGGGAATTTGGGTTTGTGAGATGTTTTAAAGTGCTTTAAAGTTTTGGACAGGATTAAATTGGCCCTCATAGCACTCTTTTCTCTATTTAAATAATATTCAGCTCTTCTATTCTTTTGGTTGGTACTTGGCTTCCTTTGGTACAAATACTGTGGACAGAAAGTACAATCACATGTCTAGCTGGAAGTGCACAGCCGTGACCCCATCTGCAAAACCATCCCTCATCCCTGCCACCCTGCCCTGATCCTTGTCTAAGATTGTGATTCCATCTCTACACCTCTGATCCTTGTCTCAGACCACAATTCTCCCTCATTGTCCAATGATCCATCTACAAAGTTGCCAAAATTTGATCCTCATCCATTCTTGTCTAGCTCAGTCTTCCAAAACAAAATCTGTGAAGTAGGCTTGCAGCATTTCTTGAGTATTCCTGCTCTGGCATTGCTACCCTCTGCATGGTTTCTCAAGCCTCATCATTTGTGCAAAAGGCACTTTATCAATGTAGGAGATAGCAAGGTGGGAAGTGTATCCTGAGCATTAAGCAAAAAGGCTTTTCGTTTATATAATGTTTTTCACTGTCGAGGAATAGGGTTAAAATTCAAAGCATACATGATGATTATATGATGACAATGTCTTGATATTGAAAGGTGCAGATGCTCTAACTTGTGTGAAAAAGGTGTACATAAAGAACTGGCTATAAATAACGGGTTCTTGCAGATCAAGATTATGGACTCAAGCAGCAAACACTTGGGAGACTAACCAGTCACAAGAAAGAAACAACAGAATACGGTGGCAGAGGAAAAGACAAAAAAGCATTGACCAAGCCAGTACTTGAAGAGAACCTTGAGATTAAGGAGGTTAAGAAGACAAACATGAAAAACATTTTGAAAAGATGTTTAGGAGAATGCCCAGCAGCAAGCTGGGAAAACAGACTTGGAGATTGGATAGCAGTAACACAAGCAGTGGCGCAGTTTGTAACAGATGTAAGAATGTTTCCAGAGCTCTGAAGAAGTGTGGAAATCTGGCAATCAAAGGATCATATCAGAACCAGGGACGGGAGAACTTGAAAAAAAAGTTCACCAGTTACAGACTGTTTCAGATTAGGTTAAGAAGAGCCAGGAAGACCACGTTAGTACAATATGCTGTGCTTGGGACACCATTTCTTATAATCCTAAGGATTATACTACGAGGACGATAAGACAACCATGATAAGGGAAGTCAGAGACAGCTAAAATGAAACGATAAAGCAGATGATATGGTGAAGATTAGTGGGAAGCCAGAGGATTGGGGAAGCTTTTAAAAACCAGCAGAGGATAACTAAAAAGGCAAAAAGAAAGGACACCCTAGGCACAAAGCCAGCTTGTCATGATTGTAAGCAGTCCTTAGTCAAGTCAAGGTTTCAAGCCTTCTCTCAGGGGGTCCTGGCGCAGTAAGTCAAACGCAACCTCTGAAAGCAATCCAAGAGCTTGGAAATGGTCATTCAGGCACATAAGGAGTGAAGATCAGAATGTCCAGCAGCCAACAACCCATCTTGAGTTTTTGAAGCTGTTTTCTTCCTGGAATGACAGGGAGGCAGGTATCTTGGGAAATAAATGTGGGTGGCACGGTTATTATTGCTGGTGTAGGTAGGGAGGTGTCCTGAGCGAGTATGTAGGCAGCACAGAGGGCGTGCGGG